AACAAGCATACCTTCCGGCAACATAAAGCCAAGCAAGACAAGAGAAGAATGCCATAAATATGGAAGGCTTGAAGGTCTGAGAAGGCTTGGATCGGCCACGCCTCTGGGGCTTCGCCGTCGTCGGCAAACTCTCCATCTCGTCAACCTTCAGGAGCAAGAGCGAGATGGAGACAGAGAGAATTGAATCGACAACGCAGAAATGTTGGCGGTGTTCAGAATCAATGAACCGATACAGAGACAAATCGGCATAAAAGGAAACAGAAACAATGCAGGAATTAATCAACAATGAACACAGCCTGCCAAAAGGAAGAAGGAGACAGAGTTGAGATCTCGTCTAGACAGTAGAGCCAGTTCAAAACTTTCGAACAACCACACAAATGGGCTGGGCTGGGCTCGGCCCACCCGCCACTCGACAGCCCACACGTAGAGTCGCCTAAACCTACCTCTTTTAATGATCTTAATTAACATTAACAAAACAATTAATCTTCCCCACTTTGATGAGACCACGACTTTTATTGTTATTAATTTATTAAAATAATTTGAACTAATTAAATTTTCATTTATTAATAAATATATTAAGAATAATATATTTTTTATTTTTTATTTTTTAATTTCTTTATCCATCAACTCTAATAATTATCTTCATTAATTAATAAATAAACTTAAATAAACTTTTAAGAGTAAATAATTAGTATAATAATTAAATTAGAATATATTAATCTCATTATTAATATTTATAAGTTTAATTTGAATCAATTATGATATATTAATAATAAATAAGTTAATTATACTTATTCTCCATAAATAATTAATTATAATTATTGAAAACTAACAAATCCTAATTAAATAATTAATTATACTTAAAACATTGTTAGCTAACTAATTAATAATTTTAGTAAATAAGTAGTTTCGTTCCTCTAATAAATTTTTATTTGTAAAATTGAATTAAATATAGTCAAATAAAATTGAAAAACAAATTAAGAGGGATTAAAAGTTAATTAGTTTATTTTTATTAAGTTTAATTTTAATTAATTTATTTTTTTATTATCAATAAATGTATTATGAATAATATATTTTAAATTTTATAGCATTCTGCGGTTGTTAAAGTGAATATATGTAATAAAGATTAGAAATTTGAATATTTAATCTGAAAAAATCTATTTAAATAGTATTTGTTCACGTGAAGAGGTAATATGGACCCACTCATGGAGGGTCCACGTGTGCTAACCAGCTGGCTGTGATTTTGTGTGGAATTGGAGTGGTAGATACCGTCAGGGATGTGCCTCTATTTATGCTCACCACAAATAGTTATTTTTTATAATTACCTTTTTGCCCCGATATCTGTAGCTTCGTACACGATAGGTTGAGCACCCGATATTTGCATTATTAATCAAATGAGTATCAAATTCATTAAAATCTCTATCTACCGACACTGTCTAGGGCCACGAACATGTGAGGGTTGAGTATCCATGTTTAAGTGTTATGGGGGCCTAATTTGGTTAGCAATTATTGAATTCGACAACCCCCAATCTTTGTCGATATAGATAAATAAAAATAAGACAAACTAAGCTCGACATGTCACGATTGGTTGGTTGTAATGCACCACTTTGTATCCCTTTTGATTCATTTAACGTACCCACTATTCCAAACACACGTTATGTAAAATTACTGTCTCCACAAAACACGTCTCCCGTAAAAGAATTTCTTTTTACGGTTACTGTAGGAAGGAGAAACTGCAAAAATATTTCAATTTTGTATCCCGTGTTTATTAGATGGTAGGTAGGTTTTTGAATATATGTCTAATAGTTTTAGCTACTCGGAAACTTGTCTACACACTTGTTAGAAACAACGACCCTCCATAATGGTATGATATTGTCCACTTTCAGCAATGTATGTATTCATTTACTCATAAACTCATGATTATTCTCTTAATTAGCCAATGTAAAACTCTCTCACAACAATCATCTCTTCGAACAAAGTACACTATAAAGTCTTCCATGAGGCCTATGCAACCCTCGAACAACCTCCCTTTAATTGAGGCTTGACTTCTTTCTTTGGAGCCCTCGAAAAAGTACATCATTTGTCCGACACTTGAGTCACTTTTGACTATAACTTCAATGCTAGCAACTTCTTTGTTCGACACATGAGAATTCGATTAGTATGACTAAGTTAAGGGCACGATTCTGATAAACATGTTAGGAATCACAAACCTCCACAATAGTATGATATTGTTCACTTTGAGTATAAGCTCGTGTGGTTTTCCTTTCAATTTCTCCAAAAGTCCTAATACCAATGGAGATGTAATAACCTTCAGCACAACACTGACCGATATGGGTTTTCCCTTTTAGACTTCCTCGCATGATCTTTAAAAAGTGTCTGTTATGGAAAAGTTTACACACTCTTATAAAGAATGTTTCGCTCTCCACCTGTCTCGTGTCCACCTTCTTCGGAGCTCAGCCTCCTCGCTGGCACATCGTTTGGTGTCTGACTTTGATATCATTTGTAGCAACTCAAGCCACCGCTAGCAGATCTTGTCTTTTTTGGGTTTTAGCTTCCGATCTTCCCCTCAATGTTTTTAAAACACATATGTTATGGAAAGGTTTCTACATCCTTATATAGAATGTTTCGTTCTCTTCCTCAACTAACATAGGATCTCACCAGAGATGTATTTCTTACTCGTAAACCCATGATCATCCCTTTAATTAGCCAACGTAGGATTCATGTCCGAGCGGCTACTACTAATTCCATTAGATACCTTTTCTCAAATAATTTGTGATCGACAAAATCCCAAACATTTTCCACACAAGAATCCAAACATTCCAACTAAGACCATTTTCATCCTCTTCTAAAGGCCTCACTCTTCACACTAGTTTAAATGAAACCCCCCACTATCCCTCTAAACTCAATCCCCTTAGCGCCACCCCATCAAAAAAATGGCCTCCAAATCCCTCTCTTCAACCATCCTCCTCCTCTCTCTCCTCCTCTGTTTATCCCTCTCCGCCGCCTCCCCCTGCAACCAGCCCAAAATCAAGCCGTCGCCAGCCAAAAAGAAACCGGCAATCCCCAAAATCATCCGCCCGCCGTCGTCATCTCCGGCAGTCCAAACAGCTTACTGCCCAAAAGACACCGTGAAGTTCAGTGTGTGTACCAACATTCTCGGAATCGGCAGCCTAATCGGAAGCCCTGTTTCGAGCAAATGTTGCGGTTTGCTTACTGGGTTGACGAATCTTGAGGCGGCGGCTTGTCTTTGCACTGCAATTAAAGCCAATGTTCTTGGAATTAACTTGGATGTCCCTGTTTCCTTTAGCTTGCTGGTTAGCTCTTGCAAGAAATCCGTGCCTGCTGGCTACCGGTGTAAATGAAGCAGATAAGAACACAGTGATGGAACCTTCTGGAAAGTTTGTGCTTTGTTTTGTGGGTCTTGTTCGTTATTGTTCGTTGTTTTCGTTTATGTTCTTGTTTCATTTGGTCGTGTTTTTTTCACGTTTTGTGGGTTTATTAAGTGTTCTTTTTCCCCTCTTCATTTCACTCATCATTACTCTCTTTCAGTATTAATAAATTTGTGTAAGTTCGTTCGATTTAGACTATTTATTAGAATCTTGTATTAAAATGGTAGATTGCACGTGTATATTCTGTATTGTATGTGTATCTCACCACCCGGCGTCTAGTTCTGTTACCATTTCTAACAGCATTCATAGCTAGGAGACATTTAACGTTGATAATACTTGTAACCGCTGAAACCCACCACTAGTACTAGTAGATACTGTTCGTTTTAGTTTATTACGTATCGTCGTTAGCCTCACAGTTTTAAAAACGTATCTTTTAGAAAAAGGTTTCTGCACCCTTTATAAGAAATGTTTCGTTTCTCTCCCTAACCGATGTGTGATTTCATAACCTATCTCCCTTGGGGACCAGTTCGCTTATAAGAACCCAAATCCACCATTAGCAGATATTGTCTACTTTGGTCATTTACGTATCGTCGTCACCCTCACGATTTTATTAGAGAAAAGTTTATAACTAAAAACTATACGTTTAGACACTTAACGTCGGCAATATTGATTATATATAATAGCTCAAACCCACCGCTAGCAGACATTTAATATTGATAATATTTGTAATAGCTCAAACCCACCGCTAGCAGACATTTAATATTGATAATATTTGTAATAGCTCAAACCCACCGCTAGTAGACCTTGTTCGTTTTAGTTCATTACGTATCGTCGTTAGCCTCACGGTTTTAAAATGCGTCTCTTAGGAAAAGGTTTCCACAATCTTATAAGGAATGTTTCGTTCCTCTCCTGAACCGACGTGGGATCTCAGAACCTTCCTCCTTTGGGGCTAGTGTTCTTGTTGGTTTGTAATAGCACAAGCCCACCATTAACAGATATTGTCCACTTTGGTCCGTTGTGTATCGCCGTTACCCTCACGATTTTAAAATGTACTAGAAAAGTTTGACACTCTTATAAAAAATGGTTCGTTTCTCTCTCCAATTAATATAGGATCTCACAATATCTCAACGTTAGCAGCATACATTCAAATCTATGGTCATTTCGTTGAAAAGCTACTTGTACAAATCCAAAGACTCAAGCGAGTTGTAAAACTGTATCGAATCCACATTGGCGTTGAGAAGCCATCCTCTCGGGAATCAAATCATCATTTTCTCTTGACTTAATTGCTCAATTTTAATTTTGATTATCCAAAACGCTTCAATTAACATCAAGTTGATTGATCAGTAGTAAATAAGCAAATAAGAACATGAGTAATGATATTAGCATGAAATTAGACACATAAATAGCATGTTTTAGGTGATATCATTAATCTCAACTTCTCCCATAACACGTTTTAGTGATTTTGTTTCTATTTTCTACCATGATCAGCTAGATCTCTCTCAATTTGTTCATGATGAACCCTATATAGTAACTTCATTGAATTAAATCATGAACACGAGCCTCACAAGAGCATTAATATCATAGGCTCTTTACAAACGATTCGAACCTGTCAGCCGCATATCATACAAAAAATCCCATATAAAAATCGGAATCGCGGCTCCATCTGGCCTCCCTGTTTACGATATAGGTCTTCCCCGCCATATCTGCCGTCTGCGATTCTCTTGTGATTCCTCATTGAATCATCGATTTGATTACCTCGATTAGGGGAAATTAACGGAGAAATTTCCAGATTGATCGCCTTCGCCGCTGCCGTTGGGAATCGATTGGAGCCCTCCTCGTCGGAAATCGGTATATTCTAAACATCTTGATGGTCGCTAGTGTTTGTTTTAAGATTATTGTACGATTTTTTGCTTTTTCTGTTTCTGATTTAATATGATATAGCTTTCGTTGGAAGTTTGGTGGATTTTTGTTTTCTGTGTTCATAATGGATGCGGCACTATTTGGCCATAGGATGCTCACATGGAGTGACGTTAGGGTATAACAAGACAATGCCATCTTAGGCTTCCTTCCAAAATCATGGGATTCTGATCTTATAGTGTGACATTTGAAATGAATAGCTCTCCAGTGTTCTTCTGTGATGAAATGTTCTGTTTGAAATGATTTCAATTCTTGCAATGATCCTCCTCTTGAAAGGTTCATTTGCATTATTATTGCAGGCATTAAATAGATTTCTGGACTGTTATCTGCTAGAATTGCCTTTCATTTACGTTGAACATGTAAGATGTCTTACCTAAAAAGCAGCACGAATTTCTTATGTCGACAAGCTGTTCCCATCTCCTGTCAAACACGTCACTCACAGATCTTGGGGAATTTGTCTGTGCATAAAAATGTTTGCTTCTAAACATTATCATAATCGTGGGCAAACAACCATCTAGGCTGTCAACGTTTGTCATAAAAGATCCCAAGTTCACCGTGTAGATATTGTCTTCTTTGAACTTTTTCTTTTGGGCTCTCTCTCAAGGTTTGTAAAACACGTCCATTAGGGAGAGGTTTTCATATCTTTATAAAGAATTAAAGGATGTTTCGTTCCCCTCTCTAACTAATGTAGGATCTCACAATCTACCCCCTTTGGGGCCCAGCGTCCTCGTTGGCATACCGCTCAGTGTCAGGCTATGATACCATTTGTAACAGCCCAAGCCTACCACTAGCAAATATTGTTCTCTTTGGACTTTCGCTTCCTGACTACTCCTCAAGGTTTTTAAAGCGTCCCTACTAGGGAGAGGTTTCCATACCTTTATAAAAGAATGTTTCGTTTCACTCTCCAACCGACATAGGATCTCACAATTCATCTCTCTTTCGGGGTCTAACGTCCTTGCTGGTACTCATTTTTCTTTCCAATCAATGTGATATCTCACCATTTGAGTGAAGATCACACATCCTATATCAATTTGTTCTTTAAGTTTTTCTGTTGATGCTTCTTCTGGGTTCAAGTCCTAATGGCACATTGATGTCGATAGAGCCTTGGGCCTACGAAGTGGGCTCGTCTTCTTTTCCTTAAAAAAGTTAGTAATATGCATATACACTCTTCAGATATGCAAGTTACATGCTTTGGCCCATAAATCATTATATCTTCTCTGGTTGTGGAAGTAGATTTTGAAAATATCCACAAGAAGCCCTCCAACAGGCTATTTTTGCGCAGAGGGAAAGGATGTATTGGTTGTATTAGTTGGGATGTACAGTCAATCAGTATGCTTTTCAAAGAGGGTTTAATCAAGCACTTGGAGAAAAGGCCAAGAAAGGCGTGGTTCATTGTGAACTGCTTGTGGGTTCCATTTCATTAACTCACCCTGAAGGCTCAGTGAAACAGTACAACTGATAGGCTAGGCTATCTTTCTCCCACCTCTCTTTATTGCCCTTTGCAGCTCATCTCGAATTGTCAATCCTAATAGTGTGACCGCTAAAGGCTTATCTCTCGATTCGGTGTTGCTTAACAATGGTCTGTAGTGTACCCTTCCCTCCCGGCATCTCTCGTTTCAACCCGGTACAGCATTGGTCAAGCCTTTAGTTATATTTTGATTGTGAAATCTATTAGGAGACTAATTGTGGGTATGTTTCTAGCTTATGAAGGATGAGGTTGAGTTGTCCAAAGCTGACAAGAACTTGAATGGGATGGGTGGGTATAGAAGATGAGTCAATAATAGATGAAGAATCCAGGAAGTTGCCATCAGATATCTTCACAGATAATGCTAGATTGAGGAAACCACTCTATCATGCTGTCAGAATGGAATGATTGGATCCCAGAAATTTGATTGGACGGAGCGGTCATTTCATAAGATCCTCTTTCTTGTAAGTAAATTCATCATCACCTAGTTGATAGAACAAATAGATTTTTTTTTTGAACCCAAATATCTCCATGGAAGATCAGTAAGGAGCACAAATTGGATCCTCTTCATGTACAAAATCATGGGATTTTTTTTAATATCAGGATCTGAGAATACTCTGTTCATTCCATTCAAGATTTTGTTGAAATAACATGACACATAATTTAGCACTAAAGAATACTACACAATGAACCCACCCAATTCATTCATCTCTCCCTCCCTCCCTCCCTGTTAGCTCAAGCATCATCTTCTCAATCTCAGCCTAAGCAAAAGCGCGTTCGTCGTCCATGTCCATGCCCACCTGCATCGACACAACATACTTATTAGCTGTTGTTCAATCGTCTAGAGGACGGTGGTAGAAATCATTGTAAGTAATTGAAAACACCATAGGAATGGAATTAAGCAATCATGATGTAGTAACAGTCCAAACCCACTGCTAGCAAATATTGTCTCTTTGAGCTTTCACTCAAGGTTTCTAAAACACAACTGTTAAGGAGAGGTTTCACACCATTATAAAGAACATTTCGTTCTCCACCCCAACCAACGTGAATGATGCAACTCAAGCTGACCATTAGCAGATATTATTCTCTTTGGGCTTAACCCGCAAGGTTTTTAAAACATGTCTACTAGGGAGTGATTTACACACCCATATAAAGAGTTTATCTTCTTTGGACTTCCCCTCACAAAAATTTTAAAAAGCTAGGGAGAGGCTTCCACACCCTAAACAAAAAGTTTAGTTCTACTCCTCAACCAATGTGGGATCTCACACATAGAACCTCCATGAATAGAGAAATTAGAGAAATCAAATCTTCGAAACGACTACTCATTCGTTTCTTTTTCTTTCTGGTTTCTTGTTTTTTTTATTCGGCTTTAACATAATATCATTAGGAAGTTGTGGTAGTAAAAACAGAGCTTCGAAACTGTACCTTAAAAACAACCATCCAATTGACGTGGCTCAACAAGGATATAAAGCGGCTTTCCATTAAGCCTGCGCTGTCCCTTAATTACCAGAAATTTCAAAACCCTAAGTATCGTTAATCACACAACTAAACAGTTAAAAAAACACCTTAATTACCTTAACTTCGCGTAATCCAACCACACAACCACATTCAACCACTTCAGCACCCATCCGTTCTACCAACAAAACAGGAAAAGAAACAGTAAATTAATTATAAAACTAAACGAAATTATTAAGATCATAATGGACCCATCAAATCTTTAATTATCTATTTCAAGATTTCGAGGCAAACATAATAATGATGAATGATAATCATTTTCAACAAGAAATCTTAAACCCCATGATTAGTAATCCCATGTTTTATGTTCTTGTTCAGAAAAAAAACATGGATTCCACGACCTTGCTTTTAAGGTTAGCAAAGCATTAAAAGTCAACAAAAAAACATCCTTAAATTAAGGAATCAAAACACAACAATAACAAGATTATGTTCTGAAGAACAATTCCAAGAATCATAACCAGAAAAATGACAAAAAAACATACCCAGAAGCCTGATTGCTGCAGATAAGGTTCCGCCGGTGGCCACCAAATCGTCGATAATCAATGCACGTTCCCCTGGCTTCACAGCATCAATTTGCATTTCTAAGCAGTCGTTTCCATACTCCAAATCATAAGCTTCTGAAATCACTTGCCCTAGTAATGAACACAACAAAAAACACATAAAAAAGCAGAGCATTTGGGGCGAAATTCAAGGGTTTTTGCAGAGATTCTACCAGGAAGTTTTCTGGGTTTTCTTAAAGGAACAAACTTCGCTCCAATGGCTAACGCAATTGATGGGCCAAACATGAACCCCCTGGCTTCTACCCCTGCATTTCCAAGTCAAAACCGAGCCTTTTAATGGGAAAAAGAAGATCATAATTTCATAGGAAAGCAGTTTTATAAAAGGGTAAAGAGACGTGGACAGCAAAGTACAAGAAGAAAGTTTCAACTTTCCTTCAAAGAACATCCAATAAACCGTGTAAAAGAAGAGAGAGAAAGACTAAATTCCGTAAAAAAAAAAAAAAACAGAGCAAAAAAACAGGGGAGGATGAGAAAACCCATGAAAGTTGCAAGAAAAAATCAAACAAAGAACAAAACATAGAGAATCCTCAAGCATTGTCGGCAACACCAACACTAATCCATGAAGTATGGAGAAAGAAAACCGAACCAGCGACAACAGAGATGTTCATTCCCCTGTAACGATCGACAAAAATGTCGACAGTATCCTTAAACGCCTTATGATCCAGCAACAACGTTGTAATGTCTTGAAACATTATCCCTATCAGACAACAAAAAAAAACCCCAAAACATTCAAAATTGCCCAGAATCTTCATTTCCGTCAAAAACCCACAAAAAAAAAAAAAAAAAAAAAAAAAAAAAAAAAAAAAAAAAAAAAAAAAAAAAAAAAAAAAAAAAAAAAAAAAAAAAAAAAAAA